ACCTCTGCCCATCTCACCAACACATAAGTAGCCTAACCACCGGTTGCCATCTCTATGTAACCCCCCCCCCTCGAATAAAGATGTGGATCCTTGTCAGCAATTCCATTGCTGACCGGGGGGAGGATGTTCAGAATTTAGATTATCGGTACCGAACGAGCGTACCGCTGTCTGATTAGGATCACGCAGATTACTCGCGCGCGGCAGCACCTCTCGAAAGCTCGATTTCCGCACGTAAATACGTTAATTGTCCGCGTAGAGGAAGCGGCGCGACTCAAGAACTCGCTCTTACTTCCTGTACGCGATAGAAGACACACGTGTTTTTGACCTACGGAAGTGCGACATAACTCACTCACTCAGTTTTTTGGTGCTCACTCATTCAAGGATTGTTTCACTCGGTTATCACTCATTTACTCTAGGACTAAAACTCACTCACTTCTTCCTCGTGAAAAACCGTCGAAGTGCGTAAGAAACGGCTATCATTCACGATCGATTGCGACCACTCGTGTGTCGAAGCGTGCCTCGTGCACGAGGAGAAGCGTGCCGTCTCACTCGCCGCTAACGAACGAAGTGCTCACCCATGTACATTGCGCGGTAACACGCTTTGAAAATAGTTAATTACAGATCATTAAAGACTCATCAATTTTTTGTTACCTTTTAAGGCGAAGTGTCAATGCGTAATTCATTTCATACTCTTTTTTCCTCGCTCTCTCACCCACACGTTCCAGAACTTTCGATGCGGTAACTCGCATCCGCAACAGAATTATTGGTAGGTTGGCTGGCCCGCCGAAATGAGTCTGAGAAAAATTCCGCGGAGTCATCCTTAGCCTTGATGAGCTGCATGAGCGTTGAGCGGGAAGTTGAGTAATACTCGAGGCACTTGTCGTAGACACCTCCTTTGACGTAATCGTGCTCGAGAACCGTTGTGTCCTTGCTTCCGACGAGCTTCTCGTGCATCTCCTCAAATTTTGACCAGTATTTCTCCAACATATCCATTTGAGACTGTAAGGCTGGAAGTTCCATCTGCCGAAACTCCACGAATTTAGCTTCAGTAGCCATTTTCTCAATAAAAGTAGCACGGCTACCTTGTATATTGATACGTCCCTCAAAGGACATGATAAAGTGAGTTGAGTCGTTGAGAATCACTGGGTCCGCAGATTGAGTGTCACTGTTGAGCGTTTCAAAATCGTGAGATGTGTAAACACGCACGTATATTGTCTTCCGAAGGAACAACAAGAACACGAGCTCGTCTCTCGTCACCGTTCCTGTACTACCTGAGTTGCTCATTAAAGCACATATATATATTGCTGTAAGTAAACTTGCGAGTTTATTTGGTTGCTGCTCGGATAAAATAACAACAACTTCGATCGGGATATGTATCGGGTTGCGGCTGAGCGCATCCACATGTGCCATCTTGGATCCCGCTCGATATTCGACGTCAAGCGTGTACTCTTGCACCTCGAGCCACCACCGACCAATGCGGGGTAACAAATCTCGTTTGGCAAATGTCAGCCGTAGTGCGTTGCAGTCGGTTACCACCTTGAACTGCAATCCTAACAAATACACTCGGAATTACCTGAGGGCCAGTACCACCGCCATGGTTTCCAACTCGTACGAATGATAGCAGCGTTGATCCGCAGTCGTCTGCCTACTATAATAAAATAGGCCACTGCTGTCATCTTATTCTCGTTCTCCTGCAGCAGCATTGCTCCTACCCCTATCGCGCTTGCGTCGGTGTGCACTTCGGTTCTTTTGCTGTGACTAAATATTGTCAACACTGGTCGGGTTGAGAGCTTCCTCCTGATGGTGTCGAACGCTAGCTCCTGTGCATCCGTCCATTCCCATGCTGCGTCTTTTCTTGTGAGTCTCGTCAGGGGTTCCACGATTGTCGCAAAATTTCCGATGAACCTTCGAAAATAACTCGCCAATCCTAGCACCTGGCGCACCTGCTTCACTGATTGTGGCCTCTCCATACGGGTTAACGCCTCGATCTTACCTTGCCCTGGTCGGACACCTTGTGCGCTAATTTCTCTTCCAAGGTAATCTATTGTTTCCCCAAAAAAAGTACACTTTTCCAGTTTCAAGGTCAAGTGGTGTGTACGAAAAGCAGTTAACACTTGGCGCAATCTTGCCACTCCCTCCTCTATGGTTCGGGATGGGATGATGACGTCGTCTAAGTACGGAAAAGCCACGGAGTTTTTCAGGCTCCCCAAAACTTTGTCCATTAACCGTTGGAAAACGGCAGGCGCGTTAGTTAAGCCAAAGGGCATCCGTAGGAACTCATAATGTCCTTCCGGCGTCATGAATGCTGTCTTCGCGATGGAGTCTTCCGCTACAGGTACCTGATAGTAGCCCGACGCTAAATCTAGTCCTGTGCAATGTTGTGCATAGATGATTTTAAAATTAGCTAGATAAAGATAAGATAAAAATATATAAATTTATCCTAGATAAGATAAAGATTATTTCGTTTTTAATATATCTAGATAAAAGATAAAATCATATGATAATTCATCTAGATAATTTGCAGATAATATTTTTAAGACTTCATGTAAACACAGTAGAAAAAGTTATAAAAAAATTATAGAAAAATTTAAATTATAAGGGGGGATATAGAATATATTCAGGTTAAGTTATATGACACACACATAAATGCATGGTCTACAACGCCATCCATATTTAAATAGTGTAACTGTTAAGTATTTTTATGTGGCTAACCTTATGTGGCCCTAAACCAAATTATCTGTACGTTATCTTAGATAATTTAGTAAAAATAACACTTTCTTTCATCTAAGATACAGATATAGATAATACTTATTTTTATTATCTATATAAAGATAAGATAACGCTAAATTTCATCTCGATAATCATCTATATAATTTTATTTAGATAACGGCAAACACTGGTCCTGTGAAATACTGGCAGCCTCCTAATTTGTCAATCTGCTCTTCAATTAGCGGCATCGGGTATTTATCCTTGATCGTGACCGCGTTCAATTTACGGAAATCGATGCACATTCGGTGTTCGCCATTCTTCTTCTTTACCAATAGTATGGGACTCGCGTATGGTGACTCTGACTCGCGGATAATGCCGTTATCTAGGAGTTCGCGTATCATCTCCCGCACTACGCGTTTTTCGGCCTCTGCCAGACGGTACGGACGGTACACGATAGGTTCGTCGGTCGTACAACGGATACGCAACGCCGCTCCGTCCGTTTTTCCTAGTTCCGATACCGAACGCGCTATACAGTCTTCGAACTCCCGAAGCAAAGCCGTAGCTAACTGTTTCGCCTTTTTACCGGCCGTTCCGGTAGTGATTGTAATCTCGTTACTTCCCCGTACGTTTGAAAAATAAACACCGACAATATTCTCGCCGTCGCTGGAAATCACGGGTAATTGTTTAAGCGTTGCTTTGTTTCCGTGTTTGATCATAACAATATATTCCTGTTCGAGGAAGTCACGGCCGACTATTAGATCATATACGAGGCAATCATCCGGTACTATAATGGCATCGACTTGTGCCACCGCGTCCATGACTCTAATTTCGCAGCGCGTCGCCCGATTACTTATCGCCGCACATCCCGCGAAACCTTGCAATATCCGATTCGATGTTGTTATGGTCGCCATCTCGTATTTTAAGATAACAGACTTTCGTACTAACGTGCACCCGCTTCCCGTATCTATCAGTCCCTGAACTTTATGTCCGTTTATGGTTACCGGCCTCTCGTATGCACTCGACGCGCTTCCCGTTTCAGTTACCGCGATTACGTCTTTTTTCTTTATCGGACATTTTTCGGCTCGATGCCCTAACCGGTTGCATTGTTCGCATTCAATGCGCGGCATGCGACACTTCCGCGCGATGTGTCCCGCTTTTCCGCAGTTGAAACACTCGGGTCGCGAATTTCTTTTTTCGTCCGTCGGCGGTGTGTTTTCATCGTTCGTCGCGCGCGTTTGATCTACCGCCAAGGGTTTCGATGTACGGTCCTTTCGGTCGCCCTTATTACTCGTCGCGGCTTTATTTTTCTCACTATGTCGTGGTAAATCTCCTAGAGTCGTCATGTATGCGTATAAATCGTTTGCACTACCATGTTGTGCCGAGCGTACCGTTCGTGCTACGTTTTCGTCGGAGATCCCGCCGATTACCGCGTCAATTAAATACTTATCCGGTATTGTGATATCCAATTTACGCATCCTACTCAACTTCTGGAAGCAGTAATCCCCCAGTGATTGCCCCGGGGTACTCTCGTAATTTGCGGCTTCCTTAAACAACTTGCTAAAGGGTACGGACTTACGAAACTGTTGAGTTAAAGAGTTTTTTATCTCACTCCACATGCCGGTCAACCGAGGTCTGGCATCATACCATTGCCGGGCATGTCCTCTCAATCGTCCTGGGATTAGTCGCAGAATTGCCTTGTCGTCCCAGTCGTACTGCGCTGACAGGTCATCGACATGTTCGATCCATTTTTCGATGACCAAGTCATCCTTTGACGGATCGAACAAAGGGATCATCAACTCGTCGCCCTTTTGTATATATGATCCTCCCGTATGAGATCTTGATCGTCGGTCTAGGCTCTCGACGATGCGTTCCAACCGCTCGAAGCGTTCGTCACTTTGCTTCCTCTGGTCTTCTGAGGATGAACGGGGAGAGTAGCTTCTCTTCCTTTTTGACTTGCGTCGCTCAGACTCGTGGCGCGACTTGTGTCGACCCATCTTACGTATTACGCGCTGGCTCACTTAAGTGCGTAACTTGTCCGTTTATCCCACTTCTGATATGTAAGATAAAACTTCGTTTTATTAAGATGGAAATACAGTATGGCGTCCTCGTGCCGTGAGCCTTCCTTTTTCACTCGCGCATCTCTCTCCCCACCACCACCTCTCTTCTTCTTCTGCAGTGCCCTCCATCTCTTCCCATAGACATACAGGGTGGGCCAAAAGTCTGGATACACCCTAATATCTCATAAACTATGCACTTTAGAAAAATATGTTTCAGACAAAAGTTATACGGTTTTAAAAGGGCTATATAATGGTAAAATAAATTTTCGAAAAAATTAATTTGTTATGGTTATATAGAGGTCGCCGTCATTTTTTTAAATGGAACTCCCTATTGTTTATTATACTATTTTATTCTACTAATTAATATGAACAACTTTTGTCTGAAACATTTTTTGATTTGCCCAATACTTTTTGAGATATTCAAGAGAAAATTTATAACTTTTTCAATGTTTAGCTTATAATCTCTCGATAACTGTTTGTCGGAGGGAAAAGTAGTATAGGACTTTTTTACTTGATTTAGTCTCAGGAATATGCTGTTGTAAACGTGTTCCAATATTGCAACACATAAAATTTACATACACAAAATTTTTCAATAATTGAAACGCCATTGCAACAGCATATTCCTGAGACTAAATCAAGTAAAAAAAGTCCTATACTACTTTT